CTGAGCCATGCCTGGCCGGGCTGGGCACCCTTTTGATGCCATTTATATTGTCACGCCAATAGACTTGCTTCTTTACATTGCATGGTTCAGAGAAGAGAACATTTCTCCTAAGAGTTGAAACAGAAGTCTGAGGGGCCTGGCTCTCACAGGCTTCACTGAACCACATGTCCATTCCTGAACCAATTTCTGTGACCAGGGGGATGAAATACTTTAATTGGCTCAGGCCAATCAGGACCCACCCTGAAAAGAGGGGATAGGGGCCTATCTCACCCAAACCTCAAGGCTCAGACTGAGGGTAGGTAAGTGGGAAGTGCTCTGCAGAGGAAATTCTAGGTCTGGATCACCAAATGGTAGATGGGTGCCAGGGGAAAACCCAGCTGTCTGCTATGGGCGGTCCACACCTGTGAGGTGTGGCAAGAGGCAGGAGCAGTACCAGCCAGCCAGGGCTCCACCCCAGCACCACCGCACCTTCTTGTGTATGGGGAGGGGACACTGTGGCAGGACTGCTCCTTTGAGAGTGCTCAGTGATGCCGGGCCATCCTCCGAAGGGCCCACCTCCATGGCCCCCTAGAGTCTTGGCTTCTTGTCGCTCAGTTGGGGCTTTAGCTTCCCTTAGGGCCTGCTCCCAGACCTGGCCTCTGCCCCCAGTGGATGGAGTTGCTTTCCCTCTAAAGAAGCCCCACATTGGGAGCCTCCCACCAGAGAGGACACAGGAAGTTGGGGGTCACAAGGATGTTGTGCAGAAGGGGCACCCTGTCCCCTAACTCCTCGACCTGGTTTCAGAATGGATGACAGGGATCCCTGCTTTACTCCAGACAGCTGCATAAAGTCCCTGGACAACCAGAGCCAGCGGAGGAAAGGCAGTGGTGTTTTCAGAAGTTTATTGAGCAGTAGACTGTATCTTTTTTGTTTGACTTCTAAACAAGATTACAAAACAAGTAGAAGCCACAGACAATAGTGTGGTGAAGCCTGGGGACGGGGTGGCATCCAGGTGGAGGGAGTCAATAGGGGGGAAGGGGGGACATCTGTAATACTTTCAACAATAAAGATAAATTTAAAAATATAGAAGCATTGTGTATTAACTGCATTGGCTAATTGACATGTAATCTGACACACTCTTAAATTAGGCCCATGTTTACCTGAATAAACTCAGTGGTTATCTGTCCTAAGATTGTTCTTCTCCTGCCACGTTCCGTGGAGGAAATAAAGTGACTCTGCTAAATGCTCTCTCTATCTTCAAGGCAATTTGTCGGGGGTATTGGATGTCAGGCATGATACCCGTGGTTAAACCTCACCCCAGGCGGTGGGCTCCAGTACCAGACATTCCCAGTGTGGTGGAGAAGAGCTCCTTAGGAGACCCAGCCGACCACTGGGAAGGAATGTGGTCAGGGGCAGCGGAGCCAGGGCTCTGCCAAGGCCTCTCCTGGAGCCGCTAAGGAGGGCAGGGGTGGGGGGAGAGCAGGAGGCTTGGCCTCTCCCCATGCTCTCTGACCCACCTGGACACCCAGTCCCGTGATAATTAATAGAATAAGAATTCAGTTCAAGGCCCACCATCCTCGGGAGGAACCATAGCTCCAAGTCCAAAGACTCTATTGCTGCATAATGACAATGTTCCAGAGAGAACCCAGTCGAGCCCTGGAGAGGAGAAAGCCAACTAAATGCACAGCCTTCCCCACCTAAATGCACAGTGACCCCACCTGGGGCATCCAGGAGCGCAGGGAGAAAAGAATCAGCGAGAAAAGAATTTTTGATGCTGAGCTGGAGCGAGCAGAAGGCTGAAGCAGGTTGGCTGTCTGCACGTAGCCACAGGCTGGGGCCTGGGGGGGGCGGGTGTTAGTGCCCACCTCCTTACAGATGGGTCCAGGAGGGCTTGTTAGCAGGCTTACAACTGGGAACTCAGCTTTAGGAAGCGTAGGCTAAAGTTTTCATTTGTTCCCCTAAGCTCCAGACTGCAGAGGTTTATGCTATCTCTGAGATATTAGTGCTGTGTAGAAACTAGATTTTCTTCTGTGGAATCATGGAGAGTATGAACATAGTTTCTTAGAACTAGAGTTTACCTACTTCCACCCTCCCAACCATCTGTAAACACTCTAGGGAGGGGGTACTTTCAAATTGGGGTGGTGTGGGAAGTGCAAGGTTGGCCAAGGCGAAAAGACCCTGCTGTTCCCCTGCCTTGCTGCGTGGGGGCGGGGGTGGGGATAATGGGCGTTCTGGACACAGATTAAAGGAATTTTGTGCAAGTCCTGGGAAGATACGGGTCCTCACTTGGGTGCCATCCCTAATGTTTTTCAGTGTTTTTCTTTCCAATCAATTCCAGTGACTTCATATTTTAAGAGAAGATATGAAGAAAAATGGACACGTGACTTCCTTTTCCCCTCCTCGGCAGGGAAAGGACTCAGCTGCCTGATGTTCTCCTACCCGAGGGCATGGGGGTAGGGATCACAATACCATGTTTCCTGCCACGTAGAAACCAGAAACCTCAGTCCACTGGCTCTCTCAACAGTTCTCTTATATATCTCTACATAGACAACACTTGGCCGTATCTACATATGTACAGGTTGACAAGTGTCAAAAATTCATACTCATGTGACATATATTTATCTTGATATATGACAATTCAGTAGAGTTAAAGAAGCAAGATAATTCTGAATGGAAAATCAGCTAACCTTGGCGTCTCTGAACCTATGGACAACTGAACTCTGTTTTGCTCTTTGGTGGACGCCACTGTGCTTACATAAGTGGGCAGTCCTAATGCATTCACAGGACTCTGCTCATATCACAGTACAGGAATTATAAACCCCTTTTCTCTGTGTCTAATTAATTTAAAAGTGTGCAGTAAGAATAAAACCACACTATGCATTTATTTCTCTTAAAATTATTTAGAAAGCAAGCTAGGGAGTGTGAGGGCTGGCATCTGACGCATGCTGCACTAGAGTAAAAACTTCTCTTAGGTCTGCAGTTCTGACCCTGATGTCACAAGTAATATCAGAAAAAAAAAAAAAGTGTCTTTTGGAAGGCTCAGGTGGAGCTCCGATTTCATTAATTTCTGGTGCGATGCGGCCATCATTGTTTTGTGTGTCTCTTTTACTGCCTAAGTAATGGTAAAGGCACCTGCGCCCCCAGCTGGCGCTCAAACAGCGGGGAGGGTGCAGTGAGCACTAACCACCTCCACCTGACACGGCACCTGAGCGCAAGGTCCAGCGGGGCTGACACGGGGGACTTGGGAGAGAACCCTCAGGGAGCTGATGTACAGGGGCCTGCCCAAATCCTGCCTCATGATGGGCATTCATGATACAAACCACACTGCTTTTTGAAAAGGTTTTATATGAAAGGTTCCATCCTGTTTCTGTATAAAGGCTTTTATCCTATAAGAAAAAAACTGGACATAAGAAAAATGCCTTTAAAAAAAATAAAAACAGTGTCTAACACTAGTAGACTGATCTCTTCTACCTGACAGCTTGGGGCAGGCTGGATTCTCACTCCCCTCTGTGTCCACAGGCCCAGGACACTGCACTCACTAAGACATGGTTTGCTGAATTCAAATCCTGCCACTGACCAAGGAGCCTTGGGGACATGAAACATATCTAAGTGACAACTGGGGAGAATCACCTCTTTTCCTCACTGTAGTTTACAATAAATAGACTTTGCTACAAATTATTGGACAGACCAGTAAGAAAAGCTAATTTTCAGACTTCAACATGACTTGAAATGAATACTAGAAATCTTGCTGGGGCTAATAAAACTAATTATTAATTCCTAATTAATTCCAAATTCCTAACCAAATACAACTTTGCTGGGAAGGCCCAGGGGGC